CTCTCCCTCTCCCTCTCCCTCTGTAATTTCTTCAATTTGTAACTTTAAAAAAGAAGCAGTTGAAGCCTTTTCTTTTTTAAATTTTCAGTTGCAAGTCTAACATTCTTCTATCTAAAGTAAAAATCAGGAAATCAGTTTTGTTGTTTTTCATAACTACTAGCTATTCGAAGAATCATTTTAAAGATACTGAAGAGGATTCTCAGGTCAGCAGAAGCTGCCACAGGGAAAACAAATTCAAGTCACAATACAGCAGTCTAATTCAAGTACAAGAAAAATTGTCTACTCCTCTGAAGTTACAGAGTTCAGTTACAGATTGTGCTAAAACAAAAATATAGTCTTTTAATTCACCTTATCAAGGAATAAAGAGACAATCAATACAACTACCATAGCAAAGGATCCCAAGAAAATAATTTAAAATATGAAAATACTTGATTACACGAAGAAAGTCTAAAAGAAAATTCATTGGGGACTGTTCTTTCTTTCTTTCTTTCTTTCTTTCTTTCTTTCTTTCTTTCTTTCTTTCTTTCTTTTAATGTATTTGGTACAGGGTCTGCAGATCTACAGGGTCTCACTATGTAAATCAGACTCATAGAGATCCTCCTGTCTTCAGCCTCCCAAGCACTGGGATTACAGGAGCGCCCAGGGGGCAGGACCCACACAGCACGCCAGAATTGAACCAGACCTCTGCACCCTGCCTAAGCAGGCGCTTCAGTCCACTGAGCTGTCTGGGCAACCTAGGGACTGTTCTTTAGAAGTTTCATACAAATATGAGTATGCAAGAAAATTCTGTCAGCCAATGTTTTATGGTCACTTTTCAACTGATGGTGAAATTATCAGTGTATAAGGAAAAGATGCTAGTTTTGTTAAATTTAAACAAGTAAGCATGGAAACTTCTAACATGAATTTGAGAGGTATTAAATATAATGCTTAAGCACTCTAGCTCTGAAAACACAGGAAATTTGAGTTCTAACCCCTCCTGTGTAACATGAGCAAATTAATAAAAGTTTTTTTTAATCCATAAAGTGTTTCTTAAATTTTTTTATTATGATTACTTCATTTTATTTTATTTTTACTGCTGAAGATTGAACCCAGAGCCTTCCACATGCTAAGACTGCATTATACCACTGAGCTACACCTCTAGCCTTAAAATTAATTTTTTTAACCTAAATAAGATAATATACTATAGTAGGTAAGTTCTAATAACAGAGCAAGGCTTAAATAGTTAAATATTCAGACAAATTTCTGATGACTTATGAATACCAATTAACTTTATGTTACTGTTTTATCAAAGACACAGAAAGTGCAGTTGAGGAAGAAAGGAAATTGTCTTCACCTGGAAAGACATGCCTTAGTAACAGCACCATGGAGATTTTCATTAGGATACTGTGACAGCCGACGAGAAATCCGTAATAGCTGTCGAGTAGAAAGTGAGGCTGCCAGGGATTGTGCCTATCAAAAGACAAAAAGAATCTATTAAGAGTCTCGTTTCAACTTTCTATATTCTGCTACCATGGCAGAATTCATTATTCCTGAAGGACAAGGCCAAGCTTAAAATAAATATGTGCTACTAAGTATAAATAAAAATAAAACATTTTATGGTTAAATTATCCTTGAAGATGATTTTCTAAAAAACACTTATCAAGAGTATTTATCAACTGAACTCAACTGAAGTATTTTAATTGTACTATGTGCCATATATACATGTTGAGGCCGGAGAGGTTGGATAGGGAAAGATGTTACATGACACATGTCACATCTGTCTTAACAAATAATTCTTACGTATGACTGACTGTTCTTTTTTCTCCCCCTGCTTCTACAAAACCAAGTTGTTAAGACATTCTTAACAAGAATTGTAAGCAAATCTGTGGTTTCTGAAATAGAGAAAGGAGTTGAGGACAATTTAAGCCGTTAATTGAGACATCAACCAGTTTGTCACTTGAGTGGCAGCTTGTGTTTGGAATCCTTTCCCTGCACTGTCAGAAAAATTTCATTTTGTGTATTATACTTCCCCAAATCCCACTAAAAGACATGCTAATATAGCACTCATAACATGGTACATTCTTGATAAACATTTGCTGACTTGAAATTGAAAGTCTGTCAGGCAGGATAATGTAATGGTAGTGTTGATAGGCTTTAAAGTTGGACAAGTCTGGTTTTTACTTACTAATTCAGTTGTCTTGAGAGATTTCTTAACCTCTCCAAGCCTTATTTTCCTCATCTTTGAAATGGCAATAATGCCCTCACCTTTAAGGTGAAGATTAAATAAGAAACTGATTTGTATGTACTTAGCACAAGTCAGAAAAATATACATGGCTTAACATATGATGGAGATTATTAAAGTAATTTCTTCACAGAAAAAAAAAATCAGACCCAGCAAAGTGATGAGATATTAGCATAATTTTAATGAATCAGATTGTTATTGGTCTAATTCTAAACTCAAGTCAACAGCATTAGGAAATGGTAGTTTTTACTAAAAGACAGTGGAAAGCACTTTTGAAGTGACTGGACCGTTAGGGGGATACTGTTGTTCAGGCCAGGGTAAAATGTCACAGAGGGTAATAGAGGCAGCAAAGTGATCCTCAGCAATTATGGGGCTGGAGAAGGAAACTATTGACATTAACAAAGGACTTGGAGTGGATGGGAAGATCAAAGATACATTGTACATTTGCTTATTTCAAAGTTTCACTTAAGGTCATCTCTGTACATTGTAAAGATGAAAAATGAATCGTGTTTTCCTTCTCCAGCTCCATGAGATGTTGGTCTGCTATTAATATTATTAAACTTCAGCTTCCTCATGAGTTAAACAATCCTTTGGGGAATGGCTGGGGAACATATCTATAGCACATTCTTCTCTTCTGTTAAAAACATTTTCAGTTTCAGAGAATTCTCTTATAAGCAAGTATCTGGTTCATGCTTATTTGCAATAAGTTAGTATTCTAGACATAGAGACAATATTTAAATGTAAGAAACCATGAATTACAACTTAAAATAGCATATAATTTAATGTTAAAATAAATGCAACGGTTGACAACTGCTACAGTGGCTTAAAATGTTCAAGTGGGCAGGAAAGATGCTATGAACAAAGGCATGAAAGCAAAGAGAACACAAGTGCATGTAGAATGTGAGGCAATCAACCCAACATTACCAGATGGCCTTGATGGAAGGTTTGCTCTGAAATAACAAAGACCTGTGTGACTTTTGGCATTTGACTTCCTTAAGGCAATAAAATTTGACTATGTGCAAAGTAGTCACATGATTTTAAAATTATATTATTATTGGCCTAATTTCAAACTTAAATCGGCAGCAGTTTCAAATCTTTTTCAGTTTTAAATTTTATTACTTTGTGTAAGAGTTCATTGTTCAGCCAACTTAGATGAGAGCCCTCCCCACTTATCTCTCTCTTCCCAAGTGTTGAGGTAAATACAATTTGGTTTGATTTAAGGAAGGTGAGCAGAGAGTAGGATTTTTACCCTTTTCAGTACCACGAACATGCTTTGTAATAAAACATGGTAGAACAAACCTATCTAGATAATGTGAATATGCTAAACTTTCTAATTGCAGAGTATTTACTATCCTGAAATAACCTGTTCATGCAGTTAAGCTTCAGCTATTGCCGCTTTAAGCCACTGTAAATTACTGCTTCCCTCCTTCTCCCTCCTATTTTTTAATTGGTGACGGGAGGTGCCTGTGAAGAGTAAAATTAGATATGTTGGGTTGATATTTTCATGTGAACAAGTACGTGCTTTAGAGGCAACAATAATGAGAGCCTTTTGAAATGTGTGTTAATACATTTAATAAAAATAACTAGTTCTAAAAAATAAATAAATTTTATTACTTTTTAAAAATAAATGTTTTCCCAATTCTTTCCTCCATCTGACATTAGTACAAGTTTTAAATATCATGAAACTAATTTGGTTATAAAGGGAGAAACAGTATCAAAATGAAATGAGGCAAAGACCCAAAGGATACACACAAAACCCTAAATAAACCCTCCAGTTTGGTCTCGAGGGTTTACACTTCATAAGAACTGTCAGTTCAACCCCCATGCAGTGTGACTCCTTATAAACTGTTGGATGCGCTCCAATGATCAAGGAGACTGCCAACACCTTCTGTTAACACAGTGTGACACTAGATAACTTTTTAAATAGAGTAGATGGTACACAGGTCCAAAGATGGCCCTGCTTAAACCTTCATGAAGACTTGAGCCAAGCACTGGCTGTTTATAAAAAAAAATTCTGTTGCTACAAAAGTATAAATTAATGCTACTGGTATTAAATATTAAACACATAAAACTCATAAGGATTAAGTCATCTCTCTCTTTGAGTTCAAGAAACTCAAGTCATCTTTTTAAAAATTTACAAAATAGCAAACACACACACACAAAATACATTGTTTAGGCCAAAGTTTCCTACAGGTATAAATGAACAACAGTATTTTAAGGAGTGGAGCCATCATGGTAGTGCACGCCTGTAAATCCTGGCACTCTGGAGGCTGAGGTAGGAAGTCAGTGAGTTTGAGACCAAACTGAAGTACACAGTAAGACTTTGTCTCAAAAAGATAAAGTAACTGAAAAAAAGAGTTAACTGAGACAGGAAACACAGGGCCTCTTCATTTATCTGCCTATAAAAAGATAAAGTCCTACAGTAAGATTATAGTAGTAAGAGTGGAGAGAAATAATGCAATAAATGTCTCAAAGGATTTGCTAACTGACTACATAAGAAGGAAGAAAGGATAAAGTAGTACCAGTGTGACTGAATGTTTCAGAGGTTAGAGATGACTCAGAAGTCCCCATTCTTCATATCTAGGACCTTGAAAAATTCTTATTTTAAAGATGAAAAATATTTTAAAGTTACTCCAAGCAGAACAGTCCTACAACAGGAATATAATTAAACCCCAAGGTAACTTTCCAAAGCACAACACTGTAATCTCATTCTAAGCATGACACTCAACTCGGGCTTCATATTCACCCCAGTGATCAGTGCAGATTTCTTATAATTCTGAACAGCAGTTCTTTCCATTGTTAACACCAAAATGTTTTGCAATAATATGCAATATGCAAGGTTAAGAAATAAAGGACCTAAACTTTATATAGAGCCAATTGTACAATGAATAAAGGATTTGGTAATTTTTCTCATAGTATCAATTAAAAACTGAGTTTAATTTTAAAATTTCTAATGTATTGAACATTCATAGTATCAGGTTTCTAATTAGAGTTTTATCTTGCAGGGCAGAAGGTGGTGACATGAAACTCATTCCCCCAGTTACTATGGTTATATACCTTTAACATACCTCAAAGATTTTTTTTGATATTACCATAACTATTAGAACTTCAGCATAAACATAAAAGAGCTCATCAGAAATTATAAAAAATTTTTAGTCCCTTTTTTTTCTTTTTTTCAGAACCAGGGTTTGAACTCAGGCCCTTGTGCTTGCCAGGAAAGCGCTTATTCCACTGAGCCATTTCCCCGGCCCCTTGGTACTCTTAAAGAATTATTTCTTTTATAAAAATCTAATTTTCTCAGGAGGGAAAACTAGGGTTGAGCTGATACTAAATTAGTACTTTATCCATTCATTTAGCAAAAATGTATCTATTATGTGCCAGAGAAATAGGAATAAAAGAATGATGAAGACAGAGACATGGAGTTCAAATACTAACTAGGGACATAAGCTAACACACTTCAGTAGGTGAGTATCAGAAGTATATAAGTATCACAAAAGCAGAGTAGACGTAAAGATTACTTCGGCCTAAAGAAGCTGAAACATTCAGCTAACCACCCTAAAAGAACAGGAAATCTGAGAGACAAGTAGATGGAGACAAAGCATGCATTAGGTATTACCCAAAGCAGAAACATTAGGGTAGATAATAAACAGAAGAAAGCTAAGTGCAGGTGAAGCTGAGGGTAGGTCAAGAGGGGTTGCAGGAAATGAGGCTGGAAAGGCAGCTTAGAGTCAGAAAGAGGTTGGCAGGTAGTTAGCAGGCTGTTCAATGTACAAAGACAGGACTCCATTAAGAGTTTTAAAGAAGGGGAGGAAGCTAGGATATAGATTGCAAAGGATCACTCCAAGGACAATATGGAAAACTCAGTCATTTATTTAACAGCTATCTGTTGAATACCTACCATGTTTCCATCCAAGTTCCAGATTCTGAGAATTCCTTAAACAAGCAAACACACTACCATCATAGATCTAAACCTCATGTGAAGGTAAGTAGACAACAAAAACAATGAGACATGACCAGTATTCCACAAGTCATAAGCCCTAAGAAGAAGGTCAAGGCTGTCCAAAAGATAAGAATAAAACCAGTAGGAAATCTGACTATCAGATGGAATACCCAGGAAAGCCCTGCCAAAAGAAGGTGTCACCTGAGCAAATCAAAAAGGACAAGGGAAAAAAAGATAGTAATCCAGGGATATGACCTATGATAACAACCTCCATGGGGGCAATGGCCTTGAGGCAGACACTAGTTTGTTCAGCAAAGAGTAAAATAACTGAAAAGAATGAGAAAGAGGGAAAGAATTTACAGATGAGGTCTGAGGTAATTAAAGAAGACCTGTACCAGATAAAAGTAGTCCAGGCCTCCTCGACTCCTTCCATGCCACAGACATCTACATCATAATTTCTAGAATCTGTGAATGTCACTTTCTATGGCAGAGTTATCTTTAAAAATGAGATTAAGTAAACAACTTTAAGGTAAGACTATTATCCCTGGTTTGGGTAAATCCTATGTATCATAGCATGTGAGAGGCAGAGGGGGATTTGATATAGATACAAAGACAGGGTGATGGAAAGATGGAGGTAGTACTAGCCTGATGAGGCCAAAAGTCAAGAAATGCTGGCATCCACCAAAAACCAAAAGAAGTAAGGAAGGAATCTCTCCCTGGAACCTTCCAGGATGTGCAACTCTGCTGACATTTTGTTTTTCTCACAGTGATAATGATCTGAAACATTTTTTGTGTAAACACAAATGCTATTCTCTTAAGTATGGTAATGTTAGTACAGCCACAGGAAACTAACAGAGGGCTATGGGATATATGAATTACCAGTGAAGATGGCAATGAAGATGAAGTAATATCACAGAAGAAGACTGGAAATCAGATAGGAATATAATTATTGACAACAGGTAAGAGAACAGGTGCCACATCAGTATGCTAAATTCACTCACAATAAGATTTGCTTTTAGATTAAGTGAAGACAAGAGAAAATCAAGGAATCAACAATGATGGCAAGATTTTAATTCAGGTTACTTAATAGATAATTAACAAAGTCAGGAAATTAAATCAGAAATACAAAGAAGACATAAAAGAGAAAGGTAGTTTAGTTAGATATGATGTGTCAAATTTAAAGTATACAGTTGAAGAGAGAAACTGGCATTTATTAATCAGCTACCAAGGAGAAGATTCTTTACATACACTTTTCAGTTTAATCATTACAACTTTCTTAAGAGAAACATGGCAGTGCTCCCATCTTACAGGTTAGAGTACTCATGGAATTAGTCACAGTCCTCTAACTTTCCAACATGCCATTGTGGGATGGAAATGCAAACACTCAGAAAAGACAAATTAGATGTGGAAAGTTAAGACGCAGTATTACGGCATTAACTCCGAGATGGGACATTAAACTGTGAAAACAGATGACACTGCCTAGTGAAGGAGATGCAGGGAATGGAGCAGAACCAGGTGCCAGGAGAATTCCCCCAAGTGAACAGCTATTTTCTATGGCATTAGCCATGAGGAGCTGGAAGATATGTTAAAATCACTGAAATGAGATTTAAAATCTACATAGAACAAAGTGTAGCAAAAAGATAACAATCCCAGCTTTAAAAACATAGATTTGCAAAAGCAGTAATATGTCAACACCAGAAAAATCCTAGGCGAAAAGCCCAGGCTTACCGTTGGATCCTGGGTTTCTCTGAGTTTGTGAGTAAATGATAACAATTTCTGCAAAGCTTCCTGAGGTGTATTTGGGACCTATTTTGTGAGAGAATAGAGGAAAAACAAAAGAATAAATTTAAGATATCTTATCAATCAATCAATCAGAAACTGTTACTTAGTAAATAATATTAGAATTACATTTTTAGAAAAATGTATTACTGATTACAGGTTATATATTTCACTCACAAAATTTCTTATTCAACTTCTCGGGAAACACTTTACCTTCCAGAATAAAACTGAAAGAAGCCTCTAACTCAATAAATCTACTATATATAGTAATATAATTATGTTAATTTCATAATTAATTTTTTAATTTCTTATTTTGTTAGGTTCAGTGGGATTTTTTTTAAAGCTCTGATTTAGAGCATTTTGTTAATGAAGCCAAATGCCTTTTTTCAGTAATGACTAACATACATATATGCCTACTAAGTGATATAAAGTACTCCTGCATAAAGAGCGGATACTCACAATGTCCTCTTTTCTCAAGGACTTTTAAAGCATGTACTTAAGGACCATGATCGACTTACCAATAAACTCTGAACAGCAGTTTCCAAAATAGCACAAGTTGATTGCTTTTAATTATAGTAAGCCTTAATATAATTACATGTTTGATTTAATTAAACCACAAGCACCTTTATTTAAGCAATACAAATTTAAAATTTTAATTTAAAAAGATCAGAAAAAGATGTTAAAACAAGGACTGGCACAATGTGATCATTTCAAAGATATACTGCTCTGGGTATCTTTGGTCATTTAAGTAAGTGAATTTTTTTTTTTTTTTTTTGGTAGTTTCAGGAAGGGTCATAGAGACAAGAAAAAAAAAGTCACGGGACTGTCCTGCTACAATGCTGTATATGGCTAGATTTCTAAATTTCTGTGTAAAAATATGTAATTGTTTATTCATATTTTTAAATTTTTTTTATTTTTTAATTTTATTCTTCATATTCTGTAGGGACTTAAAGTTTAATATATCAATGCTTGATGGAAAATACCTGTTCCATGTTATGCCTAAGATGTTTGATACTCACAACAGTCAGGTTAAAACCAATTGCATATTGTGTAGGGTAATAATAAGCTTCTCTTCTGGAGGGTTAACAGCCTACGTTTGCAGACTAAAAATTAGAGAAAAAGAAGGGCTACAAGGTCAGCCAACATTTTGGCCCTAGCCTTTCAAGGTCAGTGAAGACACAGGACATAGGAGAACCTATACTTTAACATCATGTAACTCAGTTGTGTCCTGAATTTTCTGACAAGGAGATTATGGGACCAAAGAGGAAAGTGACTGATGATGTAGAGTGTGCCTAAGGAGAGTCACATGGAGAGAAAACATTCTCTCAGGCTTTCACAGAGAGCAAATTGGTCAAGCAATGGCTGTGACTCAT